ATTTGTTTAGTAAATAAATTTTTATTATAAAAATTTATTTTAATTTGAAAAAAAATTAAAAGAATGTTCAAATTAAAAAAGAAACAGTTAAATTAAAAAAAAATCACTTAAAACCATACTTAAGAGTAAAATTGAAAAAATAATTTTACACTAAAATGATTTTTTTTTCTTTTTGATATAATAATATATAATATAATAACTAAAATGCCTTGGTTAAGAAATTAAACTATTAACCATTTATATATAATTACAGTTCTTTTAAGTAACTGTTTCACTACAATGTTTAAATAATGGTAGATGTAAAAATTAAAACATAATTATTTATTCTTATTAATTTCATTCTTAAATATAGTATCTTAATTTTTAATTACTTTTTAAGATTCTAACAGGTAGCTAAATTGCAGTTAAAATTATAATTTTTTTAAATAGATTATAAATACAAGTTAAATTATTACATTTTTGTTGCTTAAAATATTCTACTCCTGCCTTATCAGTTTCTTTTGTTGATTTCAATTGAGAGAGAAGAAAAGAGAAGAAGCTGAGGAAGAAGAAGAATCCAAAAAGCAATCCCATCTGAGTGTTTACACATCAGAAGGGGGGGCTTTCAAACTCAAAGGTTTTTATTCTCATCTTCTTTATGCATTTTCTTTATCTTTTTTTAAATTTTTTTTTATTTAATCTCTGTTTTCTGATTGAATTGTTAGGATTTCTCTGGAATCGATTTCATCTTCTTTGGTTTTCTTCGAATTTCTTGGGTCAGATCTAATCTAATCAGGCTTCTGGGGTGTTTCAGACATTGCATGCATATGGGGTATGTTTTTCGAATCCAACCATAGCTGAAATAAAGTTGTCTCCTTTTTCCCCTTTCCCCTGCAATTAACTTTATATTGTGTGGGTATTAATTTCCCCCTATATTGATTGGGAATCATGTGCTGGGGTGATGACGCTGAAAGTTATTCCTTTATGTCTCTTGATTACACAGTTGTCTAGAAAATTGATGAAAAGGTTTTAAGATCGGTCAGATTTTAATGCCAACATATATTTTTTTGGTAATAGAGGATGTATATGTATAGTGGTTGAATTTGTCAATAAATTACCTTTTAGGTTTTTTAATTTTATGAACTAAAGCCGCCGGTCTGGAGAGTATTGCATTTTTGTGACTACTCAAACAAGATTGGTTCTTGCATTTTTAACATAAATAATGCATATCTGTTGCCATTAAATTGAAGTGGCTGAATTATGATGGATATTCTAGCCAATAGTATGATTATAAAGTGGTGCATAACCGAAATTAATGTTATTGTAACAGAGCAGTGGTTGTGTTGGATGCTATAAAAGGCCTACACTGAGCGCCACAGTGGATGTGCCATCAAAAGGAGTAGCAACAAAAGGTAACTCAGTAAGGAAACCTAGTTCATCAGAAGATTTCTGGACCACCAGCACGCATGATATGGACAACAGTGCCGTCCAGTCACAGGGGAGCATCTCTTCAGCCAGTCTTACAAACCAAGCTGTGGTTCCTCATGCTAGTTCTTCCAAAAACAGCAGCAACCCCACTGAATTTGTAAATCATGGTATTGTATTTTTCATTGCTTTTTATTTGTGCAGATATTCTTCCAAACAAGAATTCATGGTTTGAGATGATTTTTTTTTTTGTAATTTAATTGAAACGAGAAAAAGAAAGGGTGTGGCCTTTCACAGTGCAGGCTGAAATCATCCACTACCTACTTGTGGGTTGAACAATGCCAAACTCTATTAAAACGTGTAAAGCTAAGCCATGGTGCGTGTTTGTAAGTAGTGGTGATATGTAATGCTAACATTAAACTGATGTCTATGTAATGCAGTTACTTCTTTGTTTCCTTTTTAGTTCACAGTAATTTTTGGTGTACCATGACAATATATATCTGATGCATGTTGTTGCTCAGTTAAGAAATGCAGTTTGACTAGCGCTCACCTCACTTTTCTTTTAGGCCACACACATTCATGAAACACTGTTAGTTTACCTCGTTTCTTATTGATATGCCTTTTACCCGCTGAACCTTTCAATCTATCGTAGATTAGTGAGATTTTGTTAGATATGTTAGTGGTGCAATCATATTTTAGTTTGCAGGTGAATTTATGTTAATATTTTTGGTTGCAGGTCTAATTCTTTGGAATCAGACTCGGCAACGCTGGGTTGGAAATAAAAAATCTGAAAACCGAACACAACAATTACGAGAACCTAAATTGAGGTAACTTACATTTTTGGATTAATATATTGGCACCTTTTTATATTTTCTGTAAATTTGTTTGTGTTTGGATTCTTGAAAATCCATTTATCTATGGGTTATTTTCATCATTTCCTTTTTCTTGTCTGAGTTTCATATACAAGTCTCCTTGTGTTGTGGTTATACTGTTAAACATATGCTCTCGATGATCATATTGGAAACAGTCTGCTTAGCCACCCTGCGACCAATGATGAAAAAATAATTTACTCTATATTAAAGCTCATAGTTAAATAATTGGAAAGCCTGTTGTAGCCTTGATGAAGAAATTTGTGAATGACTCGTTTAAGTTGAATCCATGGTGCATAGCTGTTATGTCCTTGCTGCTACATTAACAAGTACATTATAAGGAGCTTAGCTTATATTTCAATTGGAAAAAAAAAGGTTCTTTGACACCATTTGGCTACCAGTTGACAACCTTAAAAGAAAAAGAGAGAGGGAAGTGTAGCGAGGGATAGTGTCATATAGGCGTAAAAAAAATTATGGTGTCAAAGCACCATTGTCCTTTCAATTGTTGTCTTGATGAGTTCTGCTTGCTAATTTCTTTTATATTGGTATGGTGTATAGCATAACTTTCCAGTTGGGTAATAAGATTTGCATATACTGCTTCGAATGAACTTCTTTCTCTCAGTATGATTTTCTTTCTCTTTTTCTCCTATCTTGTCAGAACTTATTGTCTGTGCCTTGCCAAAATTTCTTGGCTTTGCAGTTGGAATGCAACATATGAAAGTTTACTTGGGAGCAACAAGCCTTTCCGTCAGCCTATCCCTCTTGCAGTAAGCATCTACTTTCAAAGAACCATGATGCAATAATTTTAAGTAAAAAAATGATTATGTAATGATCTTGTCATTTGAATACTGATAGGAAATGGTAGATTTTCTTGTGGACATCTGGGAGCAGGATGGCCTATACGACTGAGCTGTTGAAGCTTTAGGAAGTGCCGCTGAAAATAATCATAGTTCTTGCTTATAGGAAGGACTAATTGGCATATACTTCAGTTTGTATATCAGTTTTCAAATGCCTATGAATATGATGAGGAAAATTTCTCTCTTGGGAACATGAGATAACTGTATTATACTTGATTTAATTGATTGCCTTGGCTGCCTCCACTATCTCATGAGCCTAGTTTTGGAAAACTCTTGGCTGACACCATGCTGCATGAGTTGGTTGCTACTTTCATTTGCACTGCCTCTAAATTTTGTGTAATGGTCAATTTATAAATTTGCTGTTTCTGATTTGGTTTCATACCAGTTTATCTTGGAACTTATAAAATCTCCGGGTTCTTGTTGGAATTTGTACCAATATCTTAACAAGACTTAAAAAAGTTTTAGGTACAACAGATGACCAAATTTTGTTTAGACTGTATAATATAGTTTTCTAAACAAATGGATATCTAATAAATTAAAAGATTTGGATTTAAGTTTACGAGAAAACATATTTATTTGTATTTTTTAATTACTTTTTAACTGATATTTGAAATATGTGTGTGTGTGTATATGTATACCCTATGTTAGTATAAGTAATAGGCGTTTAATGTGTATCTTCATCAGTATTTATCTAACGTATAATGGGTTGGTAGATCTGACTAAGATAACAAATGTTTTATTAATGTAATAGAAAAAACTTGGATTAAAGTGTGTAATTAATAAAATTATTGAACATTCTTAGCAAAATTCTAAGAATGGTCAATGATTTGATTTATGATTGCATAATTTGGTCAAACTTTGATTGTTTTTTCTGGTGAAGTGGGTAGTTTGATTGTTCACTGCTACCCACCTTCAAATAAAAAATGATCATAGATCGCTATCATTGTCCATTTTGTCATGATTCATCAATGTCAATGTTGCATATTCTAATATTTTCTCCTTTTAACTTTTCAGTAATTATATGTCATCTGATAAATTCTCCTCCTATTTTTGAAATTAGTCTTTTACTTTATAAGAAAAATATTTAATAAAAAGGAAAATAAATATATACTAATTATTAAAAGTATAAAACATTGTAATGACAGGATAGACAAATTTTGACACCAAGTATATATTACCAATGAAATCCTTCTCTGGGCATGATTTCAAGTTTCACTCTTTTTTTAACAAAGCATATTCTAAATATCGTCAAAGAGTCTAATTGATATATTTAGGAAATTGCTTATCTTTTAATTGCGAAAGAGATTGACATTTCAATTCAATGGTATTAAATCAAGCAATAAGCTTTTTCCTTTGTAGTTTTTTATTATTTATTTTTCACTTAAATTACACATTTCACTATTTAACTATTATTTCATAAATCTTATCGTGACAAAAATTGTACAAGGATAGTAAAATGAAATCAAAATAACACTGTTTGAAAAGTAGTGATACAACTTTTAATTGTCTTAGTTTTTTCAACTACTTTTTTGTAACACCTCATCATTTCAGTAAGAATTTAAAACTTTGATAGTAAATATGAAAATGTGTGATAAGTGTAAATTGTATTCTGAATTTGGGCCAGAGCCATCTGATTATTTCTGGACTCTATCTTTATTCTTCAGGCCCAGAAGGGAATGAAAAAAAAATTTCAAGAACACAGGTACATGTGTATTATATTTTTTCTCTGGAACACTCTAGTGAATCTATCCATGCAAGGTCTGAGAAGAAATCAGAAATTTCCATTAATATCACTGTTCAAAACATCCTTAACATCCTAGAATCTCATGGACACTTCTCTAAGCATCTTGTGTTACATATATATTTAAGTTGTCTCAGTTCCACCAACTATCAGCAAAAACATACAAAAAAAACAAAGAGAAAACAAGCAGCAGTTCAACATCAAGTCATCATATGGCTTTGGCACGGTTGGCTTTGAAAGATTTGCGAGGAAGGTTGTTTGCTTCATCTTCCTTCACCATCCCTGGTTCTGGTGGCTTGCACAAGCAGAGATGGAACAATGAATTGCTCAAAAGGTTTGCCACTGCAGCAGGTGATAAAGGAAAATCTGAAGCCACTGAAGTTGCTGTCACTGAAGGGAAAATGTCTAACAGGTTGTTCCCCAGAAGGAGGAACAGAAGATGGATTTGGAGAAACCATGATCGTGATTTCCCTCCAGCTCTCTATGGTACTCTCTCTTTCTCTACTTTTCTAAGATGCAGGTTATGGTATTGAATGTAAGGTTTTTTTGTGATGAAGCTCACACTTACACTTTGTGTTTGGGTGTTAGAGTTCTTTCCTTCAGGGCTTGGGAATGCACTGATGCAGGCAAGTGAGAACATCAACAGGGTGTTTGAGAACATGAATCTGACACCTTGGTCTCTGAGTGGTCGTGTGAAAGAGAGAGATGATCATTACAAAGTGAAATATGAGATGCCAGGAATGGCAAAAGAGGAGGTGAAGATCACCATTGATGATGGGGTGTTGACAATAAAGGGAGAGCACAAGGAAGAGAAAGAAGAAGGAGAAGATGATGAGTATTGGTCATCAAGTAGCTATGGATACTATAACACAAGCCTGGTTTTGCCTGATGATGCTAAGGCTGATGATATTAAAGCAGAGTTGAAGGATGGTGTCTTAATTGTCACCATTCCTAGGACTGAGAAACCCAAAAAGGATGTGAAACAAGTCACTGTAGAATGATGTTAAGGTTTTCCTAATAGAGGTGTGGCTATAATGTACTTTGTGACATGTGCTTGGTTCTTTTGGAGTTAATGTAACATAATCAAATAAAACCTAAGACCTGTGAAAGTTTTATTTTTGTTTCTTTTCTTTCTTTCCATATTTTTCTTGTGAAATTGCATACTTTTGTTTTTCTTATCTGATGTTTTTATTTTCCCTTTCTTTGTAGTTTCTTTCTCAAAACAACCAAACCAAAAGTATACAACAGCATTGTGTAAGGAACAGATAAATAGAGAAACATTGTAGATTGTAGAATGGGGCCCTTGTAGATTGGGCTTAGACTGATTCTGATCATACTTGGGCTTTATTGGCAATAAAAGAAAGACCTGGTATAGTAAAATAGGCTTTAAATATCTTTGTCCAAGCTGTTTATTGTCCATTCCTTCAATTCAAAGAGTTTTTACTGTAACTCATATAAAGTGTAAAAGTTAAAAGAATGCTTCAGAATGAGAAGTTGTTTTCTTAACAAGATAATAGAAACTGTTATTTACAAATATCATAATTCTGACAGCACAAAAGATGTAACTGACGATGCTTTGCCTGGTAGTAATTGGTGATTACTTTTCAGTTTTCCTACTACTACTTTCATAGACAATTAAAATCTTCATAAGATAATGAGATTTCTTTCTTAGAATATTATATATGAAATGTGTTACCTATACCTATATTTCTTAAAATTCTGTATAGTATCTGATGTCTTATAAGATTTTGCAGATGTATTTGTGTCCTGGGACCACATCTTATTTGTTTTTTCTGGTCAAATTATGTTAAAAGTCTTTTTTCATCTACCAAAAGTAAAAAATCCCTTTTTCACAAACTTTCTGAAGAATGCACCAGTCCAATTAGAGTACAGCCTCGAAATCTGGGATATGTTCTATTGGGTCAGTGATCCACTCTCTCCAGTGTCTCTTAAATAATGCCTACAATACCAGGACAAAGATGAATGATATAATAAAAAAAGAAAAACTTATCTTATGAAAGAAGAAGAAAAAGGTGCATTAGGTGAAGTGGTGTAGAATGAAAAGACTGAACAGTGAAAAGAGAGGAGAAAGAAGAAATGTGATGTGTACCTTATATGATGAGGTCACTGTGTTCATCTCCACAGTTACGTGCAGTCCAGTGCAAGCATGAGACTGTATGCAACAACTGTTTATGACTTTTGCTTCTATATCAGTACACAATCACCTTTGTGGGTCCAGAAAATGTGAACAGTCAGATCTGATAACAAGTGATAGAGGTCTTCCCTCCTAGCCGTAGGATTCATCCACCTTGTGATTGGAGATCTTGTGTGTGTGTACTTGCTCCCATCTTTTGGGAGATTGTGCATGACACTGTTAATTCAAAATAATTTAATATCTAAAATCCCATTTACTTCAATAAAAAAACAAACACATCACTATTCACATGTTTTGAAGACTTCAAGCCTATTCTATGACCAACATGACAGAAATATCACTTCAGATCTTGGTGGAGGCTTTCTATTTTTCCTGATAAAGGTCAATTCAAACTGCAATAAAGTCTTTAATTTTGGAACATTGTTCTGTGTGGATGAAGAATTTCTGTATGTTTAAATGCACAATTTGTAATTGAAAACTGTGAATATTAATGAACTATGCTTGAATTCAAAATCAGCTATATCAGACCAAACTTATCTTGTGTAACTGGAGAATGCTACAGTTATTATCTCTTATGTTTACTTTTGTACAACATATAGCACATTATTTGCTTTCATTTCACTGCACCAATGAATTTGTAAAACTCAGGTAGAGTGCATTTCAAACATTCTAAGTGATCATGAGGCACTTTGAATCTAATACTTTTTAAACACAACATCATTTATTATTAATTTCAATTAACAAATAAAAGATGTACTGATAATAAAAGAAAGTAAAAAGCTGTGTGAGTCAGTGTTGGGCATAGTCAACAGTATACAGGAATATGGAAGTCAAATTTGAAAGTAAATAAATTCGTTTATGAATGTATGTCTTGGAAGGAAAAGACAAGAGTGATTCCACCGTTGCCATGCATCACTATTGAGCAATAGTCATAGCAGTTTCTTTCTTCGGGAAAGGGAGGTTGGTGTTTTCAAAAGTTGAATTTTCTTTGGTTTGTTTGTTCAAGACACTGAAAAAGTTGCTTCATGAAAGGAAGGTGTGGGGGTAAAAACTGAAAATAAATTCTACCCTTATCATATTAAGCAAAGTTTTCCATGTCAACAGCAGCAACAACAGTAAATCTCAACACCCTGTGTCAGATCTAGAAGGAAATAGGGCATACACCAGTGAGTTTCTGCTAGCACAGTTTCTTTTAAACCTAGGAATGTGTTTTACACATTATAACAAGCTTTTAATTAGCAGAGTTATAAAAACTAAGCATATTTAACTCTTCAATATCTTATTGTAAAGTTTATGTTATTATCATATTTATGTGTAGAAAGAAAGAAAGTATATTCATATAAAATGAAAATGAATGTGGGGTCAGGTAGGTAATTTAATGGATAACAGTAGAAGTTGTGCTGGAGAAGAGAAAGGGGAGGTCATATCATATTAGTTTTTGTTCATTTCACTCAGTCAATATTCATTGTGAATCCAAAATCTGTTCCCCAAATTCCCAAAAAGGCCAAAGCAAGAGACTCTCACTGTGTGATTTTGATTTTCATTGGTGAACAAGCCATGGAATCAGAGCACTGTCTCTACCATAGGAAACATCCCTCAACTTTGTCTATCACACTTATATCTCTTATTTTCATGTATTCCAACACTAATATAATCTAAGTCACTTTCACTGCTTCTTCACCTCCTCATTCTTTCCTCAACACTTCTCCACTGTGACTATAATTGCATCAAAATCCAACACAGCACACGTCAAAGCTCTCTCCTAGACCAGTCACTGCTGATGGCTCCACCTGCTAGATCCTATCCTCTACATGGACTCAAACTTTCAATCACTGTGCTTTTCATCTTTTTCGTCTCCCTTCTACCTTCCAAATCTGGTAAAAACCCTCCACCACTCTCATACCCTATTTAACTGAATAACTGTTTCAACCTTCTGTTGGGTAGAGTAATTGCAAAATTCCAAATAACCATCTTTTTCACCAAAACACTTGATCTTCATATACACACACAGTTCCCCTTTTATGGGTTTCTTTCAAAATTTTAAATTTAGTCAGATTTCGATGTTCTTTTTCTGTGCTTGTTGTCTCTTTCTCTGTGTTCTAGCCATGTCTTTCTCAGTGCTCTAGGGCACCTTGAGGTTTAATGAACAGTACCAATTGTTGTACATGTGCAGGTGGATCGCTGACGTTGGACCCAAGAAAGGGTTTGGAGCAAAGTAAAATGGTAATAGGGTCAAAGCCTCCTGCTTGTGTGAACAAGTGCAAGAGTTGCAGGCCTTGCATGGCTACTCTGGTAGCTCCAAACCACCAGAAGAGGAAGAAGGGTTTCAGAGTTTTTTCTCGTGGGGATGATGATGATACTTATTATCTTCTTTCATGGAAATGCAAATGTGGTGATAAATTGTTTCAACCATAGAATTATTCATCTTAGTACTGTTAATTAGTTTTTTACCATTGACTTCTGTATATGTAACCAGAAAAAAGGCAAAAAAGATCAGAGAATCCATCTTCTGCTAGAGCCTCTTTTTGGCTATCTGTCATTTAGATCTTGAAAATTATTGGAGCTGCCAGTTGATCTTGTTTTTCATATATCACTCCTAATATAATTATATATTAATTATTTGTCTTTGCTTTGAGACCATTGTTTTATATACTTTATATAATTTATAATCAGAACTAGCCAGAAAATAAAAGTAATGATTGTAGTAATATGATATACTTTTACATTTATTTCACATTCAGTCTAATGATAAAATATTGATAGAGGTATAAACTTTTGTATCTTTTTAAAAGAAAAGAAAAAAAAAGTAAAAATAAATAATATTAAATGAATGTAAAAGAGGCTCAAATAATATTTTTCTGGTGGAAAAGAAGAAAACATTGTTTTTTACTCTTAAATTTCTAATCCCTGATCAAAATAAACTAATAGTTTTTCTGACTTTCTAACCACAAACACAAGAAATAGGTTTAAGACATGAAAAGAATACAACTGGTACAAGGTCCTATCATGCTGTCTCATGTCCACACAGTTGAGGACCATAATGCACTGTACTTAGGATATGTCGAGAATAAATTTTTGAACTGGTTGAAGAGGAAAATATTTTTAAATTTAATTTATATAAGTTAAAAACAAATGTAAAAAAATCGGGTATTTATTTTATAAACTAATTTTAGATTATAAATATATTTTATTACTCTTTTTTATTTTTTATTCTATTTTAGATGACTGGGGTTCGTAAAAAGAAAACACCTCAGATAAAAAAGGAAGTTTTGTATAATAGTTAGTTTTATTGCACTAAATAAATTTCCCTTGCAATATAAATGTTATTAAAAGGTTTGTTAAGAGAAATTAAAATAATACATCTTTTGATTTATTTTGGTATGTGGCATCTGCTTAGAAGTAGGATCCAATATTTGATGATGTAAATGAAGCCCAATCAACCCAGGCCCAGTTAATGATGTAAATGAAGCCCAATATTTGATCCAGTTGGTCGGAAAGTGAGCCCAATAATTCACCGTATAAGGGAACACTTTAATCAACTATGGATCATTCATTTTGGTTAAAATTGAAATGAAATGTGTCCGAATGAGTCTAGTCTCAGTCACCACCGCAAGTTCCTCCGAGCGCTTTCTCTATCGCACTATCTATCATTCTCATGCTTTCTCCTTCCCTCTGCACCGCCGATTTCAACCTCTTTCCTCCTCCGCCGTACTCCGTCGTCTTCCACCGTACCGCGCTACCTCCCCCGGTTCTCCGCTCCCACCTTCCGATAACAATTCAAGCAACCTTAAAGGTTTCATCCATCGAATATGTTACTGTTTGATTATATGAGTTGGTTTTGTTTCGTGCTTCGATTTAGGATTTTTTTTTTTATAGTTCACGTTTATTACGGGGAATTTCCTTTCCCGTTACGTTCCGTGTCCAAGTACTAACTGTAGTAATTGAAGTGTTCTTTTGTTCGAATTCTGAGGGGTAAACACTAATATGAAGTATAAGGAAGAGCTTAGTTAGGTCGGTGAGATGGATTTCTTTAGGAGCTTGTTTAATTTTTAACGGAAGATGGACGGTGCTCAGTCAACGTAGTAATTTCATAGCTAGGGATGAACACGAACTTAGCTAGTCATGAATTGTTTAAGCTCCACATGTTAATTCATCAGTGAAATTCTTTTTTTCTTATAGCTCGACAAACAAGCCCAGTGCCTGACAATATGTTCTGCAAAATATAAAGTTTTCTATCGAGTATCTTTTGAAGGTGTTTGTTGTTTTCTTGGGGGCGGGGGCGGGGGCGGGCAGGTTTAAGAAAATCTGATTAGTTTTTGTACTTTTTGTGCATAAATATCTGTCTTTGACGCATGAAGTTATAATATTTGGAGTTTTGAAAGTTCGTAGTTAACCATCTAAATCGTCAAGTGCAAGAAACTAAAGTAGATAAGATATTGGAATTTGAAATAATCTGTTGTCTTCTGTAGCATTGAATTATGTTATAGATGGTTAGTTTGTCATGTTTCCCTTGTAAAAGCCACTTTATAATTGTCAACTGTACTTGTATTGCGTTTATCTTTATTCCACAGCAATATTTTAGTCTTGACTTTTTCTTCTTTGGTATATTTTCTCAATGCTATACTAGCCTGAGTTTTAATTGGATGAGGATGCTATATTTTTTGTATTTAAAATTTATCATATGCCCAATTTCTATCATTATGTTTTGATTTGGTGTTTATGCTTGCGAGATGCAGCTTTCGGTATTGAAAATACATTTTTTTTTCAGGAGCAGATGTTGGTGCATCTTTATCCAAAATTCAAGATAGGATACAGATATTCTTTGCTGTTCTTTTCTGGTTGTCTCTATTCTTTTGGGCTTCTGCCTGGGATGGGAGGAATAGACCAAACAAGGGATCAAGATTTAGATGATAAAATAGTAAGCATTTAATTTGTATATATGGAACATGTATCTTAGTGGAACAGAATTATACAGCAAAAGAAATAAATTATGCAACTGTGTCGAATAAGTATTATTCTGCATAAAGTTTTCTTGTGCTATGATTACTTCTGTCTGAAGTAGTTTATGAGTGATACTCTGATCTCCTTTTCCTTCTAAGTGCTTTATCACCTAAATGAAATATCCTCAAATTGAATGTCTTGAATCAACAGTGAAGTTTGGAGTTTATTTTTGACAGATGTAGTGGATGAAATTTAGTAATTTATTTGCAGTCTTTGCATTAAAAAAAATTCATGTATACTTGGTTGCATTTGGTCGTAATTTGCTATTGGATAGATAACGATTTATTCAACATATTGTTGTAATCCAAGGTTCAGTGTTTTAACATATATGTCTTTTAAGAGACTGTACTAAATACTGCGGTTTTTTGGTATAAGAATCTGTATAACTCGTGTTCTGTTTGACCTTGTGTAATTTGATGTTGGAGATTGTGTAAATCATAGTGTTTTGGTGCTGTTTTTATGTTAACTAGAACCTTGACGGCGAGTTAAATCAAAATCTTTATAGCGTTGTCATTATTCTGAAAGACTGAAATTCTTAGAATATATGTGACCTTATAACTCCTTTTGCATTTTGAGTGATTGGTCTGTTTTTGTAGTCTTAAGCCTTTAATTCAAGTAAAATGTATTGTGGGGTCTCGCAGATTATTACTTTTGCTATGCAATTCAGTTTAGACAAGAACCTTGAAGATGTTTAATTTAATGACTGTCTCTGCTCTTTACTGGAAGGACAAGTGGTTCCCTTCATAGTGAATGATGTCTTTCCATTCGGCTTAAACCATGATGCATGNTTCAATTAACAAATAAAAGATGTACTGATAATAAAAGAAAGTAAAAAGCTGTGTGAGTCAGTGTTGGGCATAGTCAACAGTATACAGGAATATGGAAGTCAAATTTGAAAGTAAATAAATTCGTTTATGAATGTATGTCTTGGAAGGAAAAGACAAGAGTGATTCCACCGTTGCCATGCATCACTATTGAGCAATAGTCATAGCAGTTTCTTTCTTCGGGAAAGGGAGGTTGGTGTTTTCAAAAGTTGAATTTTCTTTGGTTTGTTTGTTCAAGACACTGAAAAAGTTGCTTCATGATAGGAAGGTGTGGGGGTAAAAACTGAAAATAAATTCTACCCTTATCATATTAAGCAAAGTTTTCCATGTCAACAGCAGCATCAACAGTAAATCTCAACACCCTGTGTCAGATCTAGAAGGAAATAGGGCATACACCAGTGAGTTTCTGCTAGCACAGTTTCTTTTAAACCTAGGAATGTGTTTTACACATTATAACAAGCTTTTAATTAGCAGAGTTATAAAAACTAAGCATATTTAACTCTTCAATATCTTATTGTAAAGTTTATGTTATTATCATATTTATGTGTAGAAAGAAAGAAAGTATATTCATATAAAATGAAAATGAATGTGGGGTCAGGTAGGTAATTTAATGGATAACAGTAGAAGTTGTGCTGGAGAAGAGAAAGGGGAGGTCATATCATATTAGTTTTTGTTCATTTCACTCAGTCAATATTCATTGTGAATCCAAAATCTGTTCCCCAAATTCCCAAAAAGGCCAAAGCAAGTGACTCTCACTGTGTGATTTTGATTTTCATTGGTGAACAAGCCATGGAATCAGAGCACTGTCTCTACCATAGGAAACATCCCTCAACTTTGTCTATCACACTTATATCTCTTATTTTCATGTATTCCAACACTAATATAATCTAAGTCACTTTCACTGCTTCTTCACCTCCTCATTCTTTCCTCAACACTTCTCCACTGTGACTATAATTGCATCAAAATCCAACACAGCACACGTCAAAGCTCTCTCCTAGACCAGTCACTGCTGATGGCTCCACCTGCTAGATCCTATCCTCTACATGGACTCAAACTTTCAATCACTGTGCTTTTCATCTTTTTCGTCTCCCTTCTACCTTCCAAATCTGGTAAAAACCCTCCACCACTCTCATACCCTATTTAACTGAATAACTGTTTCAACCTTCTGTTGGGTAGAGTAATTGCAAAATTCCAAATAACCATCTTTTTCACCAAAACACTTGATCTTCATATACACACACAGTTCCCCTTTTATGGGTTTCTTTCAAAATTTTAAATTTAGTCAGATTTCGATGTTCTTTTTCTGTGCTTGTTGTCTCTTTCTCTGTGTTCTAGCCATGTCTTTCTCAGTGCTCTAGGGCACCTTGAGGTTTAATGAACAGTACCAATTGTTGTACATGTGCAGGTGGATCGCTGACGTTGGACCCAAGAAAGGGTTTGGAGCAAAGTAAAATGGTAATAGGGTCAAAGCCTCCTGCTTGTGTGAACAAGTGCAAGAGTTGCAGGCCTTGCATGGCTACTCTGGTAGCTCCAAACCACCAGAAGAGGAAGAAGGGTTTCAGAGTTTTTTCTCGTGGGGATGATGATGATACTTATTATCTTCTTTCATGGAAATGCAAATGTGGTGATAAATTGTTTCAACCATAGAATTATTCATCTTAGTACTTTTAATTAGTTTTTTACCATTGACTTCTGTATATGTAACCAGAAAAAAGGCAAAAAAGATCAGAGAATCCATCTTCTGCTAGAGCCTCTTTTTGGCTATCTGTCATTTAGATCTTGAAAATTATTGGAGCTGCCAGTTGATCTTGTTTTTCATATATCACTCCTAATATAATTATATATTAATTATTTGTCTTTGCTTTGAGACCATTGTTTTATATACTTTATATAATTTATAATCAGAACTAGCCAGAAAATAAAAGTAATGATTGTAGTAATATGATATACTTTTACATTTATTTCACATTCAGTCTAATGATAAAATATTGATAGAGGTATAAACTTTTGTATCTTTTTAAAAGAAAAGAAAAAAAAAGTAAAAATAAATAATATTAAATGAATGTAAAAGAGGCTCAAATAATATTTTTCTGGTGGAAAAGAAGAAAACATTGTTTTTTACTCTTAAATTTCTAATCCCTGATCAAAATAAACTAATAGTTTTTCTGACTTTCTAACCACAAACACAAGAAATAGGTTTAAGACATGAAAAGAATACAACTGGTACAAGGTCCTATCATGCTGTCTCATGTCCACACAGTTGAGGACCATAATGCACTGTACTTAGGATATGTCGAGAATAAATTTTTGAACTGGTTGAAGAGGAAAATATTTTTAAATTTAATTTATATAAGTTAAAAACAAATGTAAAAAAATCGGGTATTTATTTTATAAACTAATTTTAGATTATAAATATATTTTATTACTCTTTTTTATTTTTTATTCTATTTTAGATGACTGGGGTTCGTAAAAAGAAAACACCTCAGATAAAAAAGGAAGTTTTGTATAATAGTTAGTTTTATTGCACTAAATAAATTTCCCTTGCAATATAAATGTTATTAAAAGGTTTGTTAAGAGAAATTAAAATAATACATCTTTTGATTTATTTTGGTATGTGGCATCTGCTTAGAAGTAGGATCCAATATTTGATGATGTAAATGAAGCCCAATCAACCCAGGCCCAGTTAATGATGTAAATGAAGCCCAATATTTGATCCAGTTGGTCGGAAAGTGAGCCCAATAATTCACCGTATAAGGGAACACTTTAATCAACTATGGATCATTCATTTTGGTTAAAATTGAAATGAAATGTGTCCGAATGAGTCTAGTCTCAGTCACCACCGCAAGTTCCTCCGAGCGCTTTCTCTATCGCACTATCTATCATTCTCATGCTTTCTCCTTCCCTCTGCACCGCCGATTTCAACCTCTTTCCTCCTCCGCCGTACTCCGTCGTCTTCCACCGTACCGCGCTACCTCCCCCGGTTCTCCGCTCCCACCTTCCGATAACAATTCAAGCAACCTTAAAGGTTTCATCCATCGAATATGTTACTGTTTGATTATATGAGTTGGTTTTGTTTCGTGCTTCGATTTAGGATTTTTTTTTTTATAGTTCACGTTTATTACGGGGAATTTCCTTTCCCGTTACGTTCCGTGTCCAAGTACTAACTGTAGTAATTGAAGTGTTCTTTTGTTCGAATTCTGAGGGGTAAACACTAATATGAAGTATAAGGAAGAGCTTAGTTAGGTCGGTGAGATGGATTTCTTTAGGAGCTTGTTTAATTTTTAACGGAAGATGGACGGTGCTCAGTCAACGTAGTAATTTCATAGCTAGGGATGAACACGAACTTAGCTAGTCATGAATTGTTTAAGCTCCACATGTTAATTCATCAGTGAAATTCTTTTTTTCTTATAGCTCGACAAACAAGCCCAGTGCCTGACAATATGTTCTGCAAAATATAAAGTTTTCTATCGAGTATCTTTTGAAGGTGTTTGTTGTTTTCTTGGGGGCGGGGGCGGGGGCGGGCAGGTTTAAGAAAATCTGATTAGTTTTTGTACTTTTTGTGCATAAATATCTGTCTTTGACGCATGAAGTTATAATATTTGGAGTTTTGAAAGTTCGTAGTTAACCATCTAAATCGTCAAGTGCAAGAAACTAAAGTAGATAAGATATTGGAATTTGAAATAATCTGTTGTCTTCTGTAGCATTGAATTATGTTATAGATGGTTAGTTTGTCATGTTTCCCTTGTAAAAGCCACTTTATAATTGTCAACTGTACTTGTATTGCGTTTATCTTTATTCCACAGCAATATTTTAGTCTTGACTTTTTCTTCTTTGGTATATTTTCTCAATGCTATACTAGCCTGAGTTTTAATTGGATGAGGATGCTATATTTTTTGTATTTAAAATTTATCATATGCCCAATTTCTATCATTATGTTTTGATTTGGTGTTTATGCTTGCGAGATGCAGCTTTCGGTATTGAAAATACATTTTTTTTTCAGGAGCAGATGTTGGTGCATCTTTATCCAAAATTCAAGATAGGATACAGATATTCTTTGCTGTTCTTTTCTGGTTGTCTCTATTCTTTTGGGCTTCTGCCTGGGATGGGAGGAATAGACCAAACAAGGGATCAAGATTTAGATGATAAAATAGTAAGCATTTAATTTGTATATATGGAACATGTATCTTAGTGGAACAGAATTATACAGCAAAAGAAATAAATTATGCAACTGTGTCGAATAAGTATTATTCTGCATAAAGTTTTCTTGTGCTATGATTACTTCTGTCCGAAGTAGTTTATGAGTGATACTCTGATCTCCTTTTCCTTCTAAGTGCTTTATCACCTAAATGAAATATCCTCAAATTGAATGTCTTGAATCAACAGTGAAGTTTGGAGTTTATTTTTGACAGATGTAGTGGATGAAATTTAGTAATTTATTTGCAGTCTTTGCATTAAAAAAAATTCATGTATACTTGGTTGCATTTGGTCGTAATTTGCTATTGGATAGATAACGATTTATTCAACATATTGTTGTAATCCAAGGTTCAGTGTTTTAACATATATGTCTTTTAAGAGACTGTACTAAATACTGCGGTGTTTTGGTATAAGAATCTGTATAACTCGTGTTCTGTTTGACCTTGTGTAAATCATAGTGTTTTGATGCTGTTTTTATGTTAACTAGAACCTTGACGGCGAGTTAAATCAAAATCTTTATAGCGTTGTCATTATTCTGAAAGACTGAAATTCTTAGAATATATGTGACCTTATAACTCCTTTTGCATTTTGAGTGATTGGTCTGTTTTTGTAGTCTAAAGCCTTTAATTCAAGTAAAATGTATTGTGGGGTCTCGCAGATTATTACTTTTGCTATGCAATTCAGTTTAGACAAGAACCTTGAAGATGTTTAATTTAATGACTGTCTCTGCTCTTTACTGGAAGGACAAGTGGTTCCCTTCATAGTGAATGATGTCTTTCCATTCGGCTTAAACCATGATGCATGAAACCCAGAAAAATAGAATGAATGGCCTACTATCATTAAGTTGTTTTCTTGTTTTTCTTGAGCCAGCAGGTATACTCTGTGGAAAGGAAGGGTCATTTTAGATTGAACATCATTCATTTATGGAAGGACTAATCGTCGGTTTGATGTGTTCAAAGGAATTGATATTTTTGCACAGACCGTTGTTGGGTGTAATATGGTTTGCAATCTTTTGCTTCTCATGAGAAACGATCGAATACGACATATTTTGTTCTGTTGCTTTCCAGACCGTAACACTGGATGAAAATGGAGATGAAAATTTGTTGTCGTTACCTAATAGGCCCAATTGCTTATAAATATCAATTTCCATTTAATACAAAGCCTCAGATATCTTTCATGCTTGATATAATTATACTTTGGTCAAAGCATCAGTGAAGTTTCTAAGATTCAAACGAAATATTTAATATATTAAAAATTATACAGGACGTAAAGTGTTTAACCCCTTTACTTTTCATTGTTTTGGTTCATTCTTGTGAATTGTTTCTCAGAGTTTTAGGAAACAATCTCACATTTACAGAGGAATTAAACACGAAATTGTACCAATTACTAAATTGCTTTTTGACTCTGCCAATGGTGGTTGTATCAAGTAAATAACATAAAAGCAAAAGGAATTAGTCTTGACATCTGTTGCATACTTCAACACATATTTATATAGCAGTTTTGGAATAACGCAGTTCACGGTTGAGGTTGTTTTTACCAAGTATATAAGCAAGATCATGACATCCCCTGTCGCTTCCACTTTCCAGTATGTAGTTTTAAAAGGTTGCTACATTATTAGCAAACGCCATACGGCGACAAAAAACGCCCATGGTGCCCAAAAGCAGGTGTTCATTCATGGTTGGTCTAAATTGGGAAGGTTCATTAGAGATGGCGATACAAAAGTAATTGGTGTCCGTTCAATTTTGCAACTTACAGTAAAACAAAAATGGCGACTAAGGTCCCCCCATTAACGTGTCTCTTCTGCATTGGTTGTAGTCTATCACTTGCATTCCCTTTTCCTAAATTTGTAACTCGGGATTGGATAACACATTCCTCTAAGTAATAATGTCCATTGTTAATTCTTATATAAACACTTGCTTCTTTCTTACATTCAATTCCATGTCTCACTCTAATAATAATCCCACGAATCACTTTGGTTTCTGCTTTTTCTCTTTCCTTTTGCAGTTGAGTACTTTTCTTTGACTTTTCAGTTCCTGGTTGTTTCAACTTGCACCATTTCGTTTCTATTTCTTTCCTCAACCATTTTCTTATTGTTTCCCTGTAGAAGATGTTACTTAGAAGTTCCTCCGCACCAATTCTAACTTCATTGGTACTCTATTCCAGAGACTCCTCCACTGAACCAGAAAACATTTTTCGGCTACCTAAAACAACATCAGCTTTAAGTCTAAACCAAATACCTGTAGAGATAGACCTTAAAAACTCAAGTCCTAAGAGAAAAAACCGTGTGCAACTTGGTAATAGTGTTCCTAAAAATCAACAGAGTATAAAAATCAAAGAAAGAGATGAAGTGAAAAGTCCTCAACAAAAGACTTATTACATGAAATCACAACCTTCCATTCAAGAACTGTTTTCGAGTTTGGATTTAGATAAGGGAGTAATGGATCATGAAGAAGAGTGTTGTGGGGGGAAGAAAGATGGTACCTTGCAGACTTCTGTGATGGGTGGTGGAATGGGGAGTGATGGTGGTTGTAATGGTAGTGGAAAAGGCTCAAATGGTGGACATGGAAGAGGGAAGAATTTCCATGAAGGAAATGATCGTGGTAGAGATAGGACAGATGCTTATTACCAGAACATGATTGAAGCAAACCCCGGTGATGCTCTTTTGCTGGGAAATTATGCNTTCTAGCCATGTCTTTCTCAGTGCTCTAGGGCACCTTGAGGTTTAATGAACAGTACCAATTGTTGTACATGTGCAGGTGGATCGCTGACGTTGGACCCAAGAAAGGGTTTGGAGCAAAGTAAAATGGTAATAGGGTCAAAGCCTCCTGCTTGTGTGAACAAGTGCAAGAGTTGCAGGCCTTGCATGGCTACTCTGGTAGCTCCAAACCACCAGAAGAGGAAGAAGGGTTTCAGAGTTTTTTCTCGTGGGGATGATGATGATACTTATTATCTTCTTTCATGGAAATGCAAATGTGGTGATAAATTGTTTCAACCATAGAATTATTCATCTTAGTACTGTTAATTAGTTTTTTACCATTGACTTCTGTATATGTAACCAGAAAAAAGGCAAAAAAGATCAGAGAATCCATCTTCTGCTAGAGCCTCTTTTTGGCTATCTGTCATTTAGATCTTGAAAATTATTGGAGCTGCCAGTTGATCTTGTTTTTCATATATCACTCCTAATATAATTATATATTAATTATTTGTCTTTGCTTTGAGACCATTGTTTTATATACTTTATATAATTTATAATCAGAACTAGCCAGAAAATAAAAGTAATGATTGTAGTAATATGATATACTTTTACATTTATTTCACATTCAGTCTAATGATAAAATATTGATAGAGGTATAAACTTTTGTATCTTTTTAAAAGAAAAGAAAAAAAAAGTAAAAATAAATAATATTAAATGAATGTAAAAGAGGCTCAAATAATATTTTTCTGGTGGAAAAGAAGAAAACATTGTTTTTTACTCTTAAATTTCTAATCCCTGATCAAAATAAACTAATAGTTTTTCTGACTTTCTAACCACAAACACAAGAAATAGGTTTAAGACATGAAAAGAATACAACTGGTACAAGGTCCTATCATGCTGTCTCATGTCCACACAGTTGAGGACCATAATGCACTGTACTTAGGATATGTCGAGAATAAATTTTTGAACTGGTTGAAGAGGAAAATATTTTTAAATTTAATTTATATAAGTTAAAAACAAATGTAAAAAAATCGGGTATTTATTTTATAAACTAATTTTAGATTATAAATATATTTTATTACTCTTTTTTATTTTTTATTCTATTTTAGATGACTGGGGTTCGTAAAAAGAAAACACCTCAGATAAAAAAGGAAGTTTTGTATAATAGTTAGTTTTATTGCACTAAATAAATTTCCCTTGCAATATAAATGTTATTAAAAGGTTTGTTAAGAGAAATTAAAATAATACATCTTTTGATTTATTTTGGTATGTGGCATCTGCTTAGAAGTAGGATCCAATATTTGATGATGTAAATGAAGCCCAATCAACCCAGGCCCAGTTAATGATGTAAATGAAGCCCAATATTTGATCCAGTTGGTCGGAAAGTGAGCCCAATAATTCACCGTATAAGGGAACACTTTAATCAACTATGGATCATTCATTTTGGTTAAAATTGAAATGAAATGTGTCCGAATGAGTCTAGTCTCAGTCACCACCGCAAGTTCCTCCGAGCGCTTTCTCTATCGCACTATCTATCATTCTCATGCTTTCTCCTTCCCTCTGCACCGCCGATTTCAACCTCTTTCCTCCTCCGCCGTACTCCGTCGTCTTCCACCGTACCGCGCTACCTCCCCCGGTTCTCCGCTCCCACCTTCCGATAACAATTCAAGCAACCTTAAAGGTTTCATCCATCGAATATGTTACTGTTTGATTATATGAGTTGGTTTTGTTTCGTGCTTCGATTTAGGATTTTTTTTTTTATAGTTCACGTTTATTACGGGGAATTTCCTTTCCCGTTACGTTCCGTGTCCAAGTACTAACTGTAGTAATTGAAGTGTTCTTTTGTTCGAATTCTGAGGGGTAAACACTAATATGAAGTATAAGGAAGAGCTTAGTTAGGTCGGTGAGATGGATTTCTTTAGGAGCTTGTTTAATTTTTAACGGAAGATGGACGGTGCTCAGTCAACGTAGTAATTTCATAGCTAGGGATGAACACGAACTTAGCTAGTCATGAATTGTTTAAGCTCCACATGTTAATTCATCAGTGAAATTCTTTTTTTCTTATAGCTCGACAAACAAGCCCAGTGCCTGACAATATGTTCTGCAAAATATAAAGTTTTCTATCGAGTATCTTTTGAAGGTGTTTGTTGTTTTCTTGGGGGCGGGGGCGGGGGCGGGCAGGTTTAAGAAAATCTGATTAGTTTTTGTACTTTTTGTGCATAAATATCTGTCTTTGACGCATGAAGTTATAATATTTGGAGTTTTGAAAGTTCGTAGTTAACCATCTAAATCGTCAAGTGCAAGAAACTAAAGTAGATAAGATATTGGAATTTGAAATAATCTGTTGTCTTCTGTAGCATTGAATTATGTTATAGATGGTTAGTTTGTCATGTTTCCCTTGTAAAAGCCACTTTATAATTGTCAACTGTACTTGTATTGCGTTTATCTTTATTCCACAGCAATATTTTAGTCTTGACTTTTTCTTCTTTGGTATATTTTCTCAATGCTATACTAGCCTGAGTTTTAATTGGATGAGGATGCTATATTTTTTGTATTTAAAATTTATCATATGCCCAATTTCTATCATTATGTTTTGATTTGGTGTTTATGCTTGCGAGATGCAGCTTTCGGTATTGAAAATACATTTTTTTTTCAGGAGCAGATGTTGGTGCATCTTTATCCAAAATTCAAGATAGGATACAGATATTCTTTGCTGTTCTTTTCTGGTTGTCTCTATTCTTTTGGGCTTCTGCCTGGGATGGGAGGAATAGACCAAACAAGGGATCAAGATTTAGATGATAAAATAGTAAGCATTTAATTTGTATATATGGAACATGTATCTTAGTGGAACAGAATTATACAGCAAAAGAAATAAATTATGCAACTGTGTCGAATAAGTATTATTCTGCATAAAGTTTTCTTGTGCTATGATTACTTCTGTCCGAAGTAGTTTATGAGTGATACTCTGATCTCCTTTTCCTTCTAAGTGCTTTATCACCTAAATGAAATATCCTCAAATTGAATGTCTTGAATCAACAGTGAAGTTTGGAGTTTATTTTTGACAGATGTAGTGGATGAAATTTAGTAATTTATTTGCAGTCTTTGCATTAAAAAAAATTCATGTATACTTGGTTGCATTTGGTCGTAATTTGCTATTGGATAGATAACGATTTATTCAACATATTGTTGTAATCCAAGGTTCAGTGTTTTAACATATATGTCTTTTAAGAGACTGTACTAAATACTGCGGTGTTTTGGTATAAGAATCTGTATAACTCGTGTTCTGTTTGACCTTGTGTAAATCATAGTGTTTTGATGCTGTTTTTATGTTAACTAGAACCTTGACGGCGAGTTAAATCAAAATCTTTATAGCGTTGTCATTATTCTGAAAGACTGAAATTCTTAGAATATATGTGACCTTATAACTCCTTTTGCATTTTGAGTGATTGGTCTGTTTTTGTAGTCTAAAGCCTTTAATTCAAGTAAAATGTATTGTGGGGTCTCGCAGATTATTACTTTTGCTATGCAATTCAGTTTAGACAAGAACCTTGAAGATGTTTAATTTAATGACTGTCTCTGCTCTTTACTGGAAGGACAAGTGGTTCCCTTCATAGTGAATGATGTCTTTCCATTCGGCTTAAACCATGATGCATGAAACCCAGAAAAATAGAATGAATGGCCTACTATCATTAAGTTGTTTTCTTGTTTTTCTTGAGCCAGCAGGTATACTCTGTGGAAAGGAAGGGTCATTTTAGATTGAACATCATTCATTTATGGAAGGACTAATCGTCGGTTTGATGTGTTCAAAGGAATTGATATTTTTGCACAGACCGTTGTTGGGTGTAATATGGTTTGCAATCTTTTGCTTCTCATGAGAAACGATCGAATACGACATATTTTGTTCTGTTGCTTTCCAGACCGTAACACTGGATGAAAATGGAGATGAAAATTTGTTGTCGTTACCTAATAGGCCCAATTGCTTATAAATATCAATTTCCATTTAATACAAAGCCTCAGATATCTTTCATGCTTGATATAATTATACTTTGGTCAAAGCATCAGTGAAGTTTCTAAGATTCAAACGAAATATTTAATATATTAAAAATTATACAGGACGTAAAGTGTTTAACCCCTTTACTTTTCATTGTTTTGGTTCATTCTTGTGAATTGTTTCTCAGAGTTTTAGGAAACAATCTCACATTTACAGAGGAATTAAACACGAAATTGTACCAATTACTAAATTGCTTTTTGACTCTGCCAATGGTGGTTGTATCAAGTAAATAACATAAAAGCAAAAGGAATTAGTCTTGACATCTGTTGCATACTTCAACACATATTTATATAGCAGTTTTGGAATAACGCAGTTCACGGTTGAGGTTGTTTTTACCAAGTATATAAGCAAGATCATGACATCCCCTGTCGCTTCCACTTTCCAGTATGTAGTTTTAAAAGGTTGCTACATTATTAGCAAACGCCATACGGCGACAAAAAACGCCCATGGTGCCCAAAAGCAGGTGTTCATTCATGGTTGGTCTAAATTGGGAAGGTTCATTAGAGATGGCGATACAAAAGTAATTGGTGTCCGTTCAATTTTGCAACTTACAGTAAAACAAAAATGGCGACTAAGGTCCCCCCATTAACGTGTCTCTTCTGCATTGGTTGTAGTCTATCACTTGCATTCCCTTTTCCTAAATTTGTAACTCGGGATTGGATAACACATTCCTCTAAGTAATAATGTCCATTGTTAATTCTTATATAAACACTTGCTTCTTTCTTACATTCAATTCCATGTCTCACTCTAATAATAATCCCACGAATCACTTTGGTTTCTGCTTTTTCTCTTTCCTTTTGCAGTTGAGTACTTTTCTTTGACTTTTCAGTTCCTGGTTGTTTCAACTTGCACCATTTCGTTTCTATTTCTGTCCTCAACCATTTTCTTATTGTTTCCCCGTAGAAGATGTTACTTAGAAGTTCCTCCGCACCAATTCTAACTTCATTGGTACTCTATTCCAGAGACTCCTCCACTGAACCAGAAAACATTTTTCGGCTACCTAAAACAACATCAGCTTTAAGTCTAAACCAAATACCTGTAGAGATAGACCTTAAAAACTCAAGTCCTAAGAGAAAAAACCGTGTGCAACTTGGTAATAGTGTTCCCAAAAATCAACAGAGTATAAAAATCAAAGAAAGAGATGAAGTGAAAAGTCCTCAACAAAAGACTTATTACATGAAATCACAACCTTCCATTCAAGAACTGTTTTCGAGTTTGGATTTAGATAAGGGAGTAATGGATCATGAAGAAGAGTGTTGTGGGGGGAAGAAAGATGGTACCTTGCAGACTTCTGTGATGGGTGGTGGAATGGGGAGTGATGGTGGTTGTAATGGTAGTGGAAAAGGCTCAAATGGTGGACATGGAAGAGGGAAGAATTTCCATGAAGGAAATGATCGTGGTAGAGATAGGACAGATGCTTATTACCAGAACATGATTGAAGCAAACCCCGGTGATGCTCTTTTGCTGGGAAATTATGCAAAGTTTTTGAAAGAGGTAATTCAATTTGTTTGAGCAGCTTCTTGAGCTTCATCATGTTTTATTTCTCTAAAGATCGTGTACTTTGTTGATGCATAGAAATGGTAGGAAAATTATATGCTTCACCGACCTATCTATTTATCTGTTTATGGTTTTGATATTGTGTATGAAAATAGGTTTGTGAAGACTATCCTAAAGCAAAAGAGTATCTCGAAAGGGCTATTTTGGCTAATCCTGATGATGGTCTTGTTCTCTCCCTCTATGCGGACTTAATATGGCAAACAGAGAAAGATGCTGATCGAGCTGAAGGATATTTTGATCAAGCCATTAGAAGTGCCCCAGATGATTGGTACAATATATTATCCGCAATTCCTAGTTGATTATTGTTCTTGTTTACTTTTGTAATTGTTTAAAGTGTTGAGAATTTAAGTGTGAGTACAAATCCCAGTAGAACACCGTATAAAGATGAAAGACCCATTAATCTATTGTCTTAAGGTTTTGGATAGAAAGTGATGTCAATCTCATATGCGGTTGGGCCTTAATCTTATTATTGTATTTTCTCTTTAATAAATCCAACAGTAGTATCAAAGTTTGGTTCGTCTTGGTCATCGACTCAGATGAATACAATGGTCTCTGTATCAAAAGTATTCCAATGTTATATCTTATAATCACTTGATATTCTTGATATCCATGAAAATTGAACATTGTGCTTTGTGCTCAATTACTTTTCTCTGTGTATCCCAAATGAAAAAATGTTCTGCCTTTTCTTGTTCATGAAACTGATATATCAATCTTGATTGTTGGTAGCCATGTCGTAGCTTCATATGCTAACTTCCTTTGGGATGCTGAAGAAGAGGAAGATAAAGACTGCCAAAGTAAATCAGATGAAAATCAATCATATCCAACTGCTCTCTTTCTTGGAAGTAACCATCACCTTCGTATAACCGAAGCCTCAAAAGCTTTACCACTGTTTCTTAAATGAAGGTGATATTGCATGACAAATAAGTATGTTGCTCAAACAGCAGTAACTCATGCCCCTTTTGGAAGTGATTACTAGGAATGGTTGGTGTAATAGTAATGACTTGCCTACTGTGAATAGCTTTAGACCATAACAAGAGAAATCAACTTTTGATGCCTCTTGTGCTTGTAAGTAACAAGGCTTCATCAAATGTATGTTTTGAGAATATAATGTTATGCATGCAGACACTAAGGAGTATAGTGGTGCAACCTCTTTTTCAACATGAATCCATTGAGATAAAAGAGACACATATATTTAAATTGTCTTCATGTTACTCTGATATAAAATTATTGAATAAATAAGAAGAGTTTTAATATAGCAGAATCATTCTACTCTTCAGTTGCTTCTAGCCGTAAAATTTATAACATTAAAATATTAGAATTTCAAGAATCTAAGTTTTACATTGATTAGAAATGAAAATATAGAATATCGCATAAGATTAAAGATCATTAACTAGTATTAACTCTTTGTGATTGAGTTCAGATTTTATTGGTTTTGTATTCCTCCGGTGAATCTATTCTTCTATAAACATAATACAAAGGCTAAAGTGGCCATGCATGTACTTCTGTATAAGATTTTGAGAAATGAGGCCAGTTCAAGTTTGTCATTGTTTTAACAGCAAAAGAAAGGAGAAAGAAAATAAGTGGAGCATCTGCATGGAGCCATAGACAGCAACATGAGAAATAGTAGCTGCAGACATATATTCCAACAGATGAGAGTGGGGTTTGAGTAACATAAACCAACGGCTCCAAACGTAGAACTAGGGCCATGAAAGGTGAAGCAAATGGGTGTTTTGTCAGCTATAGTTGTATGGGTTTGCTGTCTTTTTGACATGTCGGGGTCAGTGATAAGGTGGTAAGTGTTTTTGAGTTCGTCTTTTTCATAGCGTTTGTCATTGTTCATGATGCAGTTGATTAAGGGTCGCTGTTATTTAGCCACAACTTACTTAATTCAATGTATGGCCAGTGCCGCAGTACTCAAATTGGAAAAGTTCACATCTTTTAAGTACACTTTTCATATTTGGATTTTTCACGGTAGATTACATTTCATTATTTTATTGGTCCGTATATTTGAAACGAACAATCATAAACTATCACATAAACTATTGTTAAAAAATTGTTAAAAGAACTTTTTCTTTAGTATTTTATCTTATGTTTAAAAAAGGATATCTTTTGTCTTAACTGTATAAGTGTTAAAAGAAGACGTTAACTTTAGATTTAACTCAACTTTACAAAATTATACTATAAATTGATCTTATTTTTAGTTGATGTGAGACTTCCAATAATGAATTCACTTGGAAAGACCAAATTTTTAGTTTGTTTTGATATAGTTTTACATTATTTAAAGATTTGATGTTTAATAGGTGAAGTTTAAAAAATTTTAAATACCATTTTTTTTTATTTTTAAAAAGTTCTTTTAAAAAAATTGTAATAAAATTTCAAATTTTAAAATAGACAATATCTTAATTGTAATTTTTGATCATAAAGATGCATTTAAGATGGTAACAAATTTGAATTCTTCCATTCAAAATACCTAAATTTAGCAAAACTAATATTAATTCAAACAATATAATCAATCATTCACACTCCAAATACAATTTGTAATCCAAAAAATTTTCACTTTATCAATCTACAATTCAAGCAATTCTCTCAAATAATTACATAAGCAACATTACAATTCCTATAAACTTGATTTTCTTAAAACTAAATAGAATGACCAACAAAATTTCAAATATCAATTAATTTTCACTACCTATAAACATCTTGTTTGTTGAGAAACTCTACTAGTTGTGTTATCATGAATCCCTCCAAAAACAACATGCATGTAATAAATGAAGAAGAGATTTGAAATCCAAAGTGAACAAAGGTGAATAAGTTGGATTTCATCTCAATAATATTGTGGTTTATACACTAGAAGAATAAAGGTGATGGATGATAGTCAAGAAAATTGAAAAAAATTATAAAAAATTTTAAAAAAGAATATATGACTCACAATATCTTTATAGTGACATCATACTTTTTTTAACTGAATTTTCGACCGATTTTGTTTGTGTTTTTTTTTTCTCAGCCTTTTTGTTTGCTCGCGGACTCAATCACTTTTAAATGGACCCGAAAAGATGGGCTTGACTTTCTTGTTTTTAGAGAGCTACTCCCTCCACCACCTCAACTACTTCCTACACCTCCCCAAAAAAATTTTAATTACAAAAAACTATCATATTTACTTTAACCTTTTTACCTTTTTTACTTTTTTTGAGAAAACCCTAAATCTCTACCTCTCATATCAAACAATAACCATATTTGTTGTTATTAAACTAATTAGAGTTTGTCGGGACTGGATTATTCATTGCGACAAGAAAAGCAAAAATGATTTTTTTATAAGCTAATATTAAATTGTACGTAAATTAAAAATATTAAGCATATTAAACCAAACAATTTCCATAAATTAACCTGTACGGAAACTAATTTAATTTTTAGAAAAATTTCATTTTCAGAAATCTTTGAGGAAATTTACAAAAAAAGAGTGTCATGAAAAAAACTAAGGTGAGTGATATATAAGCAATTAGTTTTTTTATTTTTTATCGTAATTAAGATATTTGTATTTGTGTTATTTTTAATTTAATTTTACTACTTAGTTTAAAAAAAATTAAATTTGGTAATGGTCGGTGGTTTCGGACTCGAAAAAAGAATTGATTTTTATTAAATGTTAATAACCGGGAGAAGAACGTTATCCAGATTTTTTATTATTTAAATGAAAAGAAAATTGCATAAAAGAAAGAAAGTGTCGGAAGAATTTGAATTTGAAATCGGAAGGTGATTGGTCGGTGAGTTTCGGACTCCAACCACACATTTAAATCTGGTTAACACAAAAGAGAAGAGAAGGTTATCCATAAACTCTAACTTTTCACGTGTGAGCAACACCTACCACTCTCCACATATTCAAATTTCAACCTTTTTTTTGTGTTTTACTTTTACCACACACCCATTCATTTTTTAATCCTTAAAACACCATTTTCATTTTGAAAATAAGAATATACTTCCAATTCATGCATAAAAATGCGTACTTTAATTTGAAATTGGTAAATGTAACAGTTCTTGAAGTTTGTGCTGGGACAAGTTTGATGACAGGCACGTGTCGATATGGAAGGTGAAGAAGATGAAATGCTGGAAATGGATAAGAATATTAATTAGAAAGGAGGTGTCTTTGGGGGGATTTGATTGGAGGGTGAGAGAGGAGGTTTGAGAGAGGTGGGTGAGTTTAGAAAAGCCCTTTCTGGAATTGAATTTGGTGACAGTTTGAGAGAGAAAGGGGAACAGAGAGAACCATATCCTAATTCGACGCTTTATGCATTCTTTTTTTTTTTGATTTTTTTGTTTGGTTGCAATTGGGTTAGCAGAGAATAGCAGGAAGTTGAGAAAGTGAGTGTGAGAAGAGGAATGGAGAGCGAACCGCAGAGTGCAGGAAAAGATGAGGTTTTATCGGTTGAGCTATCGGCCCCTTCTGCTTGGAAGAAACTGGTCTCTTCTCATTCTTCTCTTTCTTTCTCTCTCTAATTTATTTTAATTTATTTTCCCATTCCATGCTTTCATTTACTGTCTGTTTTTCCAATTTCCATGGTTTTTTGCTGTTACCGATGTTATAGTCTTATTAAATGTTTTTGTAGGTTTTTTTTAGATTAAATGGTTGAATCAATTCGGTGCTTGTTTTTGTTTTAAGGGTTTCGGGAAAGAGATGACCTTGCGATGATGGTACCTTTTTTGAGAAAACAAAAATGGTTTTAATGTTTTTGTCGGGTAACCGGTTGGAAGAATTCGGTGTGAATCTTTGTTTCTAGGGTTTTTCTGGAAAGGGATGACGTTGTCATGAAATGGTTCCTTTACGAGAAAGTCTCTGTTTTTATTTTTTGTAGTGTGAATTAGTTTTGTTTCTAGGGTTATCCGGGTGGGATTAATTTGGGATGATGGTAACTTTGTTGCAGAGGAAAAAATCTGGTGTTTTAGTTTTGTTTTGGTGTAATGGTTTGGATTTGGAAGAATCAGTGTCGAATTTTGCTTCTAGAGTTTTCGGGAAAGGGAGTGTAATAATGGTCTATTTCATTCAATTCAAATTCTCCTGTTAGTTTTATCTTGTTGTAGTGCAAATGTTTTGAAGAATTCTGTGCTTAATCGGGATTTCATGGCTTTTCTCAAAGGGCTAACGTTGTCAAGACAGTTTATTTTGTTTTTTGGTTTTCTTAGTTTCATTATGTTGACACTGAGTTCAGTTCCTATTTCGTAGCGAAAGTAGTTCTTTTTAATTTCAATGCCATTGCAATCTGCTCCTTTCTTTCACTGTGATCCCTGCGCAAATTTCCTGAAAAATACTACAAGATTCTGGGCATCTCGCTGTAGAAAAAATCGAAGACAATGTCTCTTTTTATCTGGTACTATGTTGTGTTTCCATGGATTTATGTCTTTGCTTTTGCTTGCTACCTAGTGTCACGGCTTTAGTGTTTTTCGTTTTGTTATGTGATTCAGAAAATCTTGGTGTTGATTCTATTCCATTGCTGCACCATTCCTTCCTTATTAAATTCGTAGTTTCCGGATTCAGAAGTGCAATTTTCCTTGTCTGAGAGATATTTCAAAAACATATGCCATGGAAACTCCTGAACTCTTTAGGAACATATTGGTTGATTTATTCTAGATCCTTATGTGAACAGAAGCTACTAATAAAAGGTGAATTTTGGAGATAACTATCAATAGCTTGTATAGGTATCTCATATTTTCATATCGGTTCATAATAGGATAAGGAAGCTACATGGAGTTGTTTTCACCAGCAGTGATTTATACAAAGGAGATAACTATCCTTATGCTTTTGCTTTTTTTTTTGTGTGAAGCTATTATTATACAAAGATCTATGTAATGTAGATGTTTCTCTGTCGAACTCTGAAATTGATAAACCTTAACATGGAGATTGCGTTGTGATGCTTGCTTTGGTTCCACTCTGCAGTTCTTCCCTAAGAAAGTAGGAACACCAAGGAAAAGTGAGATTGTATTCGTAGCTCCTACTGGGGAAGAGATCACTTCCAAAAAGCAGCTGGAGCAGTACCTAAGGGCACATCCTGGGAATCCTGCCATCTCGGAGTTTGACTGGGGAACCGGTGAGACCCCTCGGCGATCGGCACGGATTAGCGAGAAGGTCAAATCGACTCCAC